CAAACTATCTCGAGGAAGGGCGACGTTCGTTGGAACATTAATTTAAAAGTTAAATGGAATTTTCTTTAGATATCATCAGCGCGCTGAATGTAATGAAATTTTTGCCAGTTCTTCAAGAATATATGAAAAAACGTAGCTTTTCTCAGATTTCTCTCCGTTTAAGCCACGTTGCGATATAGTTTTGTTGTTTTGTATTTTAATCATCGCAATAATAAAATAAATATAACGATAGATGATACGAATGATACGAAGTTTTGTTCGTTTTTCAGTAACAATATTCATAACGATAGTTAAATTATTTACAACATAGCTTAAATCAATTTTAAATAAGTTTAACTATAACACGACTAACATTTTGCGTTTTAAACCGTTGAGAATGTTTTTTTTAAATGCGTACTTGCGTAAGCTACAGACAGTACTAAGTTATTTCTAAATAAATAAGCCGTTAGATATTTAAACATGGAATAGTTTAATTATCTAACAGTTAATAAGACAGTTTTACTATTCTTCTCATTGTAGAGCTTTCTTCCTTTCTTAACCGTTGCCTTATTATCTATCATTTCTTTCTAGTATTGGCTCTCGATATTGACTTTGTGTTCAGAATAATAAGTTGATTACCAGCTTTTCACGTCCGAAGAGTTTTTCTTTGACCTGCTTCCGCGTGACTATGGCGCTTTTGTGAGTGAAATTACCACAGCAATTACATATGAAGATCTCTGCAGTATTATTTTACTGTTTAATATAAGCAAGGCGGTGCTAAAGTTTGAAAAAAATACTTGAATTCACTTCCAACTATCGAGAGAAAAGCACTTTCTAACGGTTTAAAACGCGAAATGTACATACATATCTACTATCTAGTTTAACTATAGCCCACCGTTTCAGCCCACGTGGGAACTAAAGATGGAGGGAGACTATAATGTATATCTGCTAAACTAGTGTCATCTATTGTCTCGTAGTTGCAATAACAAATATGGAGAGAGCAGACAGGATCCTATCTTTTTTTGGGATCTAGTTTGTCTGTTTTTACAAAATCTACAGGTTTTACAAATTGTATATTGAAGACAACATTTCTGTCTTACAATGTAGCAACCCTTATCGCTCATACACACATCCAAAAGCCTTATTGTATGTATTACGAGTATATAGCATTGTGGATTTCATGCTAGAGAAAGTACGCATTACAGTTCAGTCAAGTGGATAAATTGATGTATCGTCAATAAAATGTCTTGAAGAAAAACTATTTGAGTGTTCATCGCATCTAATAAACCGTGTGGAAAACACGTTTGATAGCTAAATTAAAAACCAAGACTTGAACCAGCGTCCTCAAGCAAGCAAGCTCAATTTTCAATCAAAATAAGTAGTTTTTAATAAAAGTTAAAATAACCGTAACTAATTACTTCTCAAACATGCTTGGGAATTTGAACATTATTTTAACAACCTTCTTCGAGATAAATCAAACGTACTGTACCGGTCCAATAGCGGCCGGAAACATTTATATGAAAATCCATATTTGTCGTGTTATTTAGAAATGGAACGGTCTATTAATTTGCAACATGGCGACAAAAGAGGTAACTTATCAAAGGGTCACTTATTTAAATTTCGAACTGCCTTGCACATAGGAAGCTCTTTAGTAAAAAAATACTATAAAAAGCTATTGTTCGTCAACTTCATCATTGGTGTTACAGTTTTAAATTTTACTATCTAGTTTTTTATTGCCGCGCATTATTTGAGACAAGTCCTATATAAGCTTTAGTCGAGACTAAGCTTTAATGGACTTACGTATGTAATTTCATTCAAATTTACACTTTCGTTCATCAGTAAGGTATTATAGTTGTTCTATAATAAATATTATGAAAATCAATAATTTTGCGCAGTCAAATAAATTGTGTTATCTTCTAACTTCGTTATTGTTTTGCACTTGTTATCTTGGCTACATCCCGTTATCTCTTACATAATATTAATAACCCGTTGTCTCCCTTGAGTAACCGCAGCAATATAGAAATCTATTATTCTCAATCAACCAAGAGAAAAAGACAATACAAGGACTCGTTGGCCTAGATAGGTAAACGCTGAGTTTGGCTTTGGGATTTTCTATTTTATACAAAGCAAATCCCTAATAATATGCAGGGAAATGGAGTAACGCTCTTCTAGAATCCTTATTTAGTTATATCAACGACACGCTTTAAACAGTTTGAAACGGGAGATCTATATTTGAAATTTTTTTTTTAACTTTAATATTTTTACAAGTTATTACACATGATGGAACTGTATAAATTAAAAATGGATTATAATTTTTTTGCGAGTGGGGCATGTATCATAAATTAAAAAAAATTGACGATGACGTGAAAGACTCGGAAGCTAAGCACGGAGCGCTGTGGATGTTGATTCAGGTCCTGCCCGAGTCATAATTTATTTCAATTTATAATCGATTTTTAATTTATACAGTTCCAGAATTTGCAATAACTTGTAAAAATATTAAAGTAAAAAAAAATGACAACGACACAACTGCAACGTTTGGAATGCTTTGCAGCAGCCGAAACAAAGCATTATTGTACAAATTATACAACCGATAAATATTTTCAGACAGTGTTAAGATAGTTAATACAACTTGATTTACGTTCGATACTAAGCAGAGTGTGCGTATTATTACTCAGTTAACCTGGAACACCTGTGTTAGGAATAGCATAATAAGCTTAGTGCTGTATTTCAAACATAGACTGTTACATTAGCGATATAATATATCCCGCAGTAGTTAGATGACTAGGTAATATTTGTATGTATGAATGTACATATATTATCGTCAGTGAATCTACTTAATTACAGCATTAATATTTCATAGAAGTATATGTATGTAAAAAACATGATTTTCAATAAGGAGGAAAATAAGAATTATGTTCACAATTTTTTATCACCGTGCTCTTGTAGATTAACATTGTTAGGCTATAAAAATATATGTCAAGTCATAAAATTGCAGTTAGGCTACTCTGCTTCTAGCGGCCCCATATATAAGTAATTATTTCAATGTATAATATTTATGATAGAGGAGAATAGTCAAGCATGAGGTTTGATGCAAGGTGAATTACACCAGCCATACAACGTATGTTGGCTTTAGATATTCGGGATTCCACAGACAGATATCGTCGCGAAAGGAACGTCGATCCGTAGTTATAAAATAAATTGTAAATGAGTTAGGTATATTTCGTGTTTTAAAGCGTTAAATGTAAATTAAACATTTACTATAAATTTAAAAAATTTACGACTCGGGCCCGACCTGAACCGACATCGACAGTGTTCCGTGCTGTCGCTCTAACCAATTGAGGACTCGGTAGCTCAATTTTATTTAAATGTGTACTACTCGCGTAAAATACGGACATCGCGTCTCACAAATATTCATTACTTCCCAGCGTTGGTAAGACATGAATATTCGAATAACTAAGATTAAACGAGGCGTGATTTTGCAAAATCAGTACTTTATTACGCCTACACATTAATTTCTGCTCAAGTCATAGAATATTCTATTAAACAACAATTTATTTCATCTTGGACTCAATTACGAAGATTTTTATGTTTTTTTCGGAGCTATGTTTAATAATGACTATTAATTACAATGACGTGACCGCCTCTATGGCTAAATAGTTTAACGTGTTGGGTAGCATTGCGTTAAGCGCGAGAAGTCCTGGGTTCGAATCCAGAGCAAGCTGTACATTTTTTCCCGCAGGGCTCTCTGTTTATAAAACCTATCAGTGATATGGACACATAAATATGTTCGTCTCATGCTCCTTGGGGAAGACGGGATTTCACTTTTCTAAGATTACGTAAATATGACGTCATCAAATTTTAAAACAACGTACATTTTTATTTACACAAAAATGGATTTCATATCAATTGTTTATCCTATTTAAAATGTTATTTCAAAGGTTCATATTAATTAAGTACACTCGTTCGTTGTTCGTAATTATTGTTGCGAAAAAATACTTAATGACTATATTCACTGAACATTTAACAAAGGCATTATTTAATTTATACAATTAAAATATGTGTCATAAAGCGATTTATCTGTAATTTTTATATTGCGAAGTATTTGCTCATTGGTCTGGCAATATATAGCAACGTATGGCATGTAATCATCGGGTCATAGGTTCGATCTCTACCAGGGTAACATATTTTTAATAAATTTATATTTTTTCTAAAACATGTTGGCTTCGCCTGGATATCTGGAAATTAAATGGATGGTAGGAATATCGAAATTTCGTCCGTCATTGTCTACAGATGTAAAAGGCATGAACTTCAATCGCATTTCTAATCAGTCTGTGCGCTTTGTGCCAAATTAGATCGACAGCGCATCTATAACTAGAACAAACGCTAGTGAAAAAACCGAAAAAGAGGTGTATGAATTTAAAAATAAAAAAAAAAACGGTTTCAACGCGTAATATCAATTGATTTGATTCAATAAATTAAAAAAAATATATTTTACGATTAGATACACATACTGTCGCGTATTTTTTAGATCATTTAAAGAGGAATCATTCCATCATATTTTTGATTTCTTGAACCGTTTTTGCAGAGCACGCAATGTGGCCCTTAAAGACGAATAACTTTTTCCGTTTTTTATCCACATTTTCCAACAAACTCTTCAGCATTATTATTATTGTCTTTAACTACGGTCCCACGTATCCGATGCTTTGTTGCAATCGTGGTCATATAATGTTTTAAACTAAAGTTTACCGCGTGTGTCCCCAAAACTGGTTCAATATCACCAGTATTAGATTTGAATTTGAGTTGACTCAGTACGGAAATGCGGACGGAAATACCGAATCAATCTGAATAGTTGACGATGACGGGGCGATAATGAACAGTTCATAGTAGTGTCTATGATGTTGTTTGTGCTAGAACAATAATGCAAAATGGAGGAATGAGGTAAAATGGAAATGCGTTTAATTACTTTAAACTTTAGATACGCGTGTGTTATCCCGTTTCTCCCCTTGAAATTTGGAGTGAACATGAAGTATGTCCGTCTTACTGAAACCAATGGTTTTCCCGGGACTACTCGAGCTTATCCTAATGCAAGGCAATACGTTTTACCATTTGGCTACAGAAATAATCAATATATGTAGGATTTATAAAATTTTTAATCTATTTAAATAAAATACTTTATCGGTTTAAATGAAAAAAAAAACATGATATATTAAACTAAATTAGAAATTATTTTAACTACGGACTGAAGTTTTGGATTCTTTGCAGCAGCCGTGGTCACTGGGGGACTAAAGTAACAATCCTGTTACGCTATTGCCATCTGTTTCCTCATAATCGGTAGTTAAAATAATTATCAAACAAGTCTCACTAATATATATCGCTTTTTAAACCGTTAAAGTGTTTTATTTAACTGTCTACCACTCGCGTAAACTACATACAGTATAATACACAAATATAGTTTACTAACGACTATTAAAAAGAAAATAAATTTTCAAAATCTGCAAAACTGGATGACACCAAGACTCAGACCCACAACCACTGCCTTTATAACTCTAGCATTATTTTGGGCGTTTATTTTAAAATGAAATAATGACTAATTAACTTATGTGCTACACGAATAAATAATTTTCAATTTAGATTTTTAGCGAAATATCTAGAATATTTTTCAACAAATATAATAATAACGAATGTTTGTTTAACTTAATTAAAATACGCATCTACGTTTATTTGTTTTAAAACTTTGTGTGTTCTGTTTACCCGGTAAAATTGTATATTCCCTGCTCAGTTGCACTAAATTTGCACCCAGATGTGAAGTGTAAAGATGCAAGTGTTAGGTACATAAAAACTTACTACGTTATAGGTTTCAAGCATTATCTAATCATGTAAGTGTAAAATGTGTGTAAACTGAACGAGTAAAAGTTTTGTCAATAAACTAGTATATTTTTTATTTATCCAGTCTAAATACAGTATTTAAAAGGGCATACAACGTAAGGGGACGTATGACAAGTAGAATAATAAAACACTTACTTTAACTATTCATCTTAATAAGTAGTTCGTTACTGTACCGCACTATTATTACCAATTACGATTGAACTCGATCGGAAACATCTTTCTCTGTGTAATAGCATGGTTGTGTAACAATTGTCGCATTAAGATAAATGTATAAAATAACAATACTATCATCTTGTTCCAGGCGTTCGAGTGCGAGCCTGCTGGCCCCGCAGTTGGCGTGCCAAAACTCCCCTGGACCAGCAGCATCAGCGCCGCCCCTCGCCCCACCCGCTTCACCCCCTCGAATCGTCTCCGCGCCCCCCGTCCAGCCCCCCGACCCGAGCCCCCAACCGGTTCAGGAAGACGGTGTAAGATTACGGCGAGCCCACACGGTCGCAGTCAGAGATTACCTGAAACGGGAAACTCAAACGTTTTTCGGTGTACAAAAGGATAATGAAAGGGAACAAAGGAGGTTGTGGCACGAGAGGCGGAGGCGGCACGCGGCGAGGACCCTCGGAGATCTTCGGATTGACCTCCCCCCGGATTATCACCCCGACGATGATGATATTAGGTGAGTTTGGGCAGGCACGAGTAACTTACGGCCTTATGTACAAGACGAAGCCATAGTTGAAGTACGTATTTTACGAAGAAAAACTTTGAGCGACCTACTGTCTTATAAAAGGACCGAATCTAGAATAGTTCTATAATAAAAATAACACACACACGATTATTACTAATATATAACAATAATATAAAGTGTCCTCTATGCAAAAAATAGGGCAGATATGTTTTGTGTTTTTTTTTTTAGTTAATTACTATATTCTACTTAACTCAACACCGCACTGGACTAAATTAAACGTGGATAAGCATTTCGGAGAAGACCTCGACCTATTTTTATTACAGGAAAAAGATTTGATAATTGAGAAATGTCTTTTCCGGTTTTTTTTTTATACCGGAAAATTACCTGATAATTTTAGGAAAACAATAATGTTAGAAATTTCCCTCTGCTTTACTCAGTTTTACATTCTGACCGGAGGCAAAGTTTTTCTCGAAACTAGTAATCTTAATATTAACGAACTACTGTTAAGTCCGGAAAAGCCTTACATAATGTGAATCTATTAATAAAAATGTAATTATCGTTCTATTAATACCAAATACCGAAATAACACTTTGAAATGCTCGGAATTACAATTAATCTAACGAGACAATTAAAATTTAAGCATTTATATAAAATATTTTTAACGATTTGAAACGCTGCAGCCAAAACATCGGGCCATATTGCAAATAAATTATACATAAGTTTAACTTATATGTCGCGTTTTGAAGCGTTAAAAGTATTTCTTTAAATGTTTGTTACTCGCGTATACTACAGACATTAAGTTAAACCATGTTGTAAACATAAAGGTTATGTAGTATTCAATTGCTGACAAAAAAAATAAAGTCATTACTAACTCAACTTCATCCAAAACAAAAACAAGAGAATCTTTTAAATACATTTTTATACATAGAGATTACTAATTTTAATAAGACTAACTTAATTACGATAATGATTATTTTAAGTGTCGTTATCGGCAATTAAATGAAATAGTAAATAAACAACACGGAAGCCGAATAGAAGTCATAATTTGTACAGTATACGCTCTTGTACAGTGTACACTGTACATCGGTAATTCCTTAACAAACTAACGGAGCATAAACCTTAATAATATTGAAATAAAGTCCATTTGAAGCGAAGTTTAAACTGACATTTATCTCGACTCCTGGTTAGTACGTTATAAATATCTTTGTTAATTCCTTGACACAGCTATACAAACTTTGTCGTTGAAATATAAACTTTGCCACTGAGTTTGAGAATCGGTAACTACTGCTTCTTGCCATTAAAAGCACCAGCTATAGACTTTAACATAGACTATTTAAGTCTTTCTAATGTCACTTATTGCAAACATTCTACAATTAAATCGATGATATAGACAGGATACCTACCCTCAAACGTGATCACAATAAAAAAATAGTTTAATTATCGTATATATTACCTATATGTCAAATTATTTTAATAATGGCTTTGAAATTTTTATGTTGATTTAGTTTATTTATCCTAAATAAAACATATGTATTGTCTGTAGTTTATGCGAGCACCACATATTTAAATAAAATATTTTTACCGGCTTCAAGCAATATTTTGTTATATTATTTAATTAGCGACCTGCTCCGGCGCATGCCATGCTGATACGAAATACAGTACAGAAATACTTTGAATGTTGCAAATAGAAACTTTGCGTACTTTTAAAGATTTAAGCGTACCATAGAAAATCCATGTGTGTAGTTTATTGTATTATTATTATGCGATAAGATTTATTCATGAAAATGTAGTTGTTAAAATCTTCATGAGTTGCAGGACTCGAGGACTTTTACAGTTTTGTCCATTCTGTTGGCATTTTTATAGCTAAAAGATAGTAAACGTTGTATTTAGCGTTTTGTCCAGACAGTTTTATGGACTATTCGATGACAAATATATACAGACATCTATCTACATTTTTATTAGATGAATGACTACAAACGATTAATAGCAGATGGATTTGTAGAACGTACTTGAATGATATATACATTTATCAGTAAAATAATGCGGGCATTGATGTACAGATGTACTTAAAAAAAATCAAATATTTTACATTTTGAAAACTCCTTTAATACTGTCCACGCGTGTCTAGTTTACGCGAGTAGTACACATTTAAATAAACCACTTTAACGGTTTAAATCAAATCTTGAATATTATTGAAAAGAAATTGAACTACCAGCTTACATAAATCTAATTAATTCTTACAAGCTACACTGACGAGTAGCTTAGACAAACGTACACAGATATAAATAACTATAGATGCTCTTATCGTTTTTGTTTGAACACATGACGGTATGTATACACGGGCGGGACTCGAACCGGCATCCACAGCGTTCCAGCAGTACTACGGAATGCTGTGGATGTTATAAATAGTTTTTTTTAATTCGTAAATTGCCTTCTACATTCTAGATTTTTTTATGATATCCCGGGCTTCGCTTAACATTTTAGTACTATCACATCGAATAACATGTGTTGCCGACCTTTGTGTAAAACTTAATCTAATTTTGAAACGCATCACAATGCAGTCTAGCCCTATTAATTTTCAAGTCAGCGTGATAAATAACGTTAAGCTAACTTCCTATAAAGTTGGCATTCACAAAACGCTAAGTTCTGTCACGTCTCTGTAGTTGGGAAATATTCGGGTAGTTCCGCGAGTGTAGCGTATGAATTATGTCCCAGATAGAGTTGATTTGTTACAAGTAGTTCTGTGATACATTTTTAATCTTCATAGCTTAGGATATAAAGAATTACTGAGCGTAGTTGTAATATTCCTTTGTTACTTAACTTTCAGCGATATGATTTGAATTATTTTGATATTTCACCAAGTTCTTTAGTAACACTTCTGATTAAAATAATAGTTAGAATATGACCATTCATTGTGATCGTTGGAGAAACGGAGTCGTTGATCTCATGTGTTGCCCATAATCGGGTTGTGGATTCGATCCCCACTGGCTCCAAAATATTTCAACATCTGGCATACTAGATGGTAGTAATATCGAAATTCCATCCCTGTCACGAACCGCTGTAATACAGAGAAAAAACAAGCCAAAAGGTCGATAGGGCATCTTGTTGAAATATTACATGGCCGGGATATTTCACCATCTATCAAGCGATAGGAACAAGAACTGTTCATTTAAAAACCTTACCTAATTAATATTTTTTTCTTCTTTTCTTCTGAGCTTTGGACTCTAGTCATTGCACCATCTGGTCCTACGATATCTCTATAACAATAGTAATTTTTGTCAGCGAGCACCATCTTTGTAACTGAATTTGGGTCTCTTGTTTCTAAGTTTGGCTTAACTTTCTTCACAATATGAGTGTTAACTAAGTGCATTACGAAGACTATCTTGTTGAATAGATCGTATCTTAACTAGTTTTAGTCAGTTCTGCAGTTAAATATACCCTCTAACCTATTCAAGTGTTCGCCTTCGATACTGAAGTTTCAAAGAAACTAATCCGTACAATGTTCTCGACTCGGTTTAACTCGTGCAATTACATTTTCGATTCTGTCTAAAATCGTAGTTTCAATAGAAAAGAGACTATATCACAAGTTACATCCGTAAGGTACCACATATAACTGTTTAAAACCTTTTCATAAAGCCAAAAATAATTTATTCATGTAGTTACCTACTAGATATACTTATGACATCACCCTAGTTGAAATCTAAAGACTCTAAATGTAAATTTACTACCAGATTTCAAATAAGGGCGTAGCACAAACGAGAAGAACTGGCAAGAAACTCGCCGCCACTCCTTTTATCGCCAAGTTTTATTTTATAATCTGCAAGTACTTTAAGTGGACTACATGTTAGTCTTTTTTTAGAGCGGGTTTCTGCATCCCCAAGCAATCTTTGCCCTTTAAATATTAACCAACGTCATAATAACTCTTTAAAAGCACTTTTTGTTTTAAACTTATTGATTGACAGTGCTTGCAATTTACTGGAAATTAATATAGTGAAAAAAGATATATTTTTTGCAATCTGTTCACAATACGAACTCAAAATAGAACGAACTGGCAAGAAACTCGTCAATTTTGTACTGCCGATAATATAAATGTAATAATTGGCTCACTATACGTTTTTCACCGAATTAGATGGAGAGCAAATACAAATGAAATATAATATGTAACTCAACTTTACCTTCGTAGACAAAATAAACCTTAAGAATTTAGTATTCTAACACAGTCTTGGTCACAAACATTTCACATTGTGTTGTAAATATAAATCTCGACAAGAGCGAAAATACGAAAATATCGAATTTCTTGCGAATTTCAATGGTGCCTTCTGACAAGTCGAGTTTTCGTAAAATGAATAAATGTACTCATGGCAAATTCATAGTATCCTCCTGGATAGAATTGGAAAATGGAAAATTACCTTATAGGTATTTTTATAACATAAAATGTAACGATCACTTTTTATAAAATTAATAAGCTACAGTAACCATAATATGTACCTTATTTAATATTATACAGAGGAATTCTTTTCCGAACAGTTAATTTTAAACAGAGAAAGTATTTTAAAGAACAGATTGCTTTTGACATTACTAGTTTAGTACATTTATATAAAACAGCACAGTAGGTAGTGCTCAGCACAATAGGAACGGCACGGAAAGTTATGGTCTTTGGTTCGAGAAAATCTTTTCTGTATAAATAGATTGTTAATCTTAATGAACCCTAATTCTATCATTAACCAAACTAGAATTCTGGTTCGCTGAATATTGCCATTTCTGAGAATTTTGCCATTTTAGTTTAAATAAAGTAAGTTACGTTAAGGAATAATCTCTTCAAGTACTTTTTAGAAGACATAGAGAATTTTAAGTGTGATTTAAACAACCCTAAGAATTGTGTATAGCAGTATTTTTATCTTAAAGTAGGCATGTTATGGCGAAGAGCGGTTTACAATGAATTGTTGGAACGTGCGAGCCGAGACTTGCAATAAAACATGTTTAAGTACAATTTATGTCTATTTACGCCTTTGTTCGCACGCAATTTGTAACTTTTTATTATTTATTAAGAACTACTAAACTAGATATTCTCGGATACGTTTTTATTCCTTTATGATTATGTGCTTGAAAAGTTTTATTGAGAATACTTAAGTTTGAAACTGTAACAATGTTACATAAATATATTAGTATAACGCTTATTCTTACGACGAAATTTCAATGTAATTTCTATTCTAGAATAAGTTTGTTTGAAATGTCTGTAACCAAGTTTAGGTAACTATCAAAATTATAAAGAATCTTTGACTTTTAATGTGTACTGAAAATATAAAGTATTTTACTTAAATTATTTTAAAATAATAGTAGAAGTAGAAGAGTTTTACACTATACGATATAACTAGTCCCTAAGTTTTTATACATAAAATTGTCGTTGGTACTTGTCTCAACAAACAAAATAAATAGAATACTTTTATTGTCAACCGCGTCTGTAGCTAGATAGTTAAACGTCTTGGCTAGCATTAAGCATGAGAGATGCTGGGTTCGAATCTCGGGGAAAAATTGATGTTTCGGTCAAGGCACAGAAATCTGATCAACTACTTGCTTGTAAAGAATTGATAAGTGACATGGTACAAAGATGTGTTTGTCCCAGTTTATTTTTATGCTTAATTTTCTTTTAATTACTTCATTTGTTTTAGTATGTACGGAGCATCAGGCGCAGCCCCCAGAGAGGCACGGGGGCGAAGTCGCGAGCGACCCGACGTTCTACCTGCGCCGGCGTCGCTCGAGCCTGCGCCGCCGCTGCCCCCTCCACCGGGGAAGGACAGCGTAGCCAGGCTTACACTTACTGGCCTTTCCTATGTTGTTACTGTGAGTGTACATGTATAAGTTTACCGCATTTCATTTATCGCCAATTTCATGGCCACGTTAGGTCTATTTTCACTTGACAGAAGGTGAAATACCTTAGTCATATAACATCTAAACAAGATTTAAGTCAACCTATTTTGGTTTATTGCTATAAATGGAAGGATGGAACGAGGAACCCATAGGAATTGGAACCCTTTTTTATCGGTGGAGTCTAGTAAGTGACTTGGATGGAATTTAGATTTCCTGCCACCCCTTTTATGTTTAAAAAAATATATAAATTGATTAGAAACAATTTAAAAATTGAAAATAAATTGAAAAAATTTTCGACTCGGACAGGACATGAACCGGCATCGTCAGCTTTCCGTGCTGTTGCTTTACCAATTGAGCTACCGAGTCCTACACCTCATCGTCGAATTTTTTCATCTTATTGATACATGCACCTCTCGCGCATTGATTATAAACATTTGAAGCCCAGTGGGGGTCAAAGCCACGACTCGTTTTTAGCCATACACTGCACCATTTGCAATCAACGAGCATATATTGGTAATGTCGTGGCCATCGTTCTCCACTGCTAATGTTGCATGGAGCTTCCTTCTAAAGATACTAACTACAAGCTAATCTATTCAAGCGGGAAACTATTATGGCCACAGGTGGCTTAGTTAGCTCTTAACCTAGTTTCATAGGTTAACCATTAAAAGTTAACTAAACAAGCCCCGACATAGTTCTATCGTGTGTAGTCTGTGGATAATAGCTCTTTGTTATAATAGAAACAATTGTTGTCTAATGAGGTTTTATATCTTTTTATTAAAGCGGTACGTAAGCACTCGTGTTGTATAGTAATTATGGAGACACAAGAAAAACAATGTTACTTGGTATTCGATAAAAGTGTACAGGGTCACATGTTATAGAATAAATTTCGGAGCTTTAAGTTGTTCTGACTGTACTGCGTGCCGCGAGTAACTACAGACATTTAAATTAAACGAACGATAAAACGAAAATTTTAGTTATTTTATTGAAATTTTAACCACAGCCTGATGTTTCGTATGCTTTGCAACAGTCGTGGTCACAGAGGCAATGAAGATGGCCCTAATGTTAAAGTAAAATTTGGTACGCAAACGCCATCTGTTTTGCCGTAGTTGGTATTTGACAGAACTGTTTCACTGTCTCCTCTCGTATCTCGGTATGCAGATTCTTGGAATCTAGTATTTTTAGTATAAGACGCCAGAAGTTTATCTTGAGACCGTCTTTCTTTTTAAACTTCGGTGTTTTGGTAATTTCCATTACTTTGCGCACCGATCTTAAAAAAAAAACATTTTTGTTAAATTTTTGGTTTGTCGAAGCGAATTTAGTGATTGGGTCCTTCAAATGAGTTGGAAGGAAAATCATAATTCAGTCTAAAGTAGAGTAGTCTCATTTTGTAGAGGGATTCTTCTAGTAGTAGGGATTTAGTAGGTTTTAGGAATTGCTGAATTATGCAGCTTGAAAACTGTATCATTAGAAGGTCATTTCAGGACTCTCCTAATTATACGTTACTAGTGACTTACATATTTCAAAATCCAATAAGATCTCGAAACAATACAGCGCCATCTATTGTTTTAATATCATACGTATTCGGGTCAACGGTTTATCAAATATAAAGTTCCACCTTCGCACGTCAAATAATATCGCAGTTACGAGTTACTATGTTAACGTCATATTTTATAGCCGGATAAAGTACAGAGAGCAATTTTATGTGAATTGGTAGCAACGAACCCTACGTATCTATTCCTTTTAAAAATACTCGGATGAAACGTCGATGCTTTGAAAACATTCAGTGTTCAGTGACCCGGAGGATACATCGCGAAATTGTGAAGCAATCATAGATTTGTTTCTATTTCCTTAACTTTCTTCGGGTGTTCTTGGCGATGTTTAGATCAGGGAATACGAGGCGAAACTTTTAAACTCTCATTCACATTTAAATAAAACACTTCAACGCTTTAAAACCCGATAAATATTAAATTAAAGTTAAACTAATTTAAAAATTATTTTAACTTCGGCCCGACGTTTCGGATGCTTTGCAGCAGTCGTGGTCATGGGGAGATAATATATATCGCGGTTCAAACCGTTAAAGTGTTTTATTTAAATGTGTACTACTCACGTAAACTACAGACAGTATTACCATACGTTTTATGCACAGTAATATTATTACTATTTACAGTCCTCCCTGGTCGCATCCAACATAATATGACATTATTAACGCGACCATAGTAATTTATCATGCATATTTCCAGCATACGCATAGAATTTCGCAAACGTGATGCTTCCCAAACATGTGAGAGCCATGTTATTCCATAATGCAAACAAGTCATAATTCCTCATTTGAATGTCCCCCAAATATGCGGTAGATGAATTAAGCTAGCATATTTCCGTGCAATAAATTATAAAAGCGATGTCTTTCGGGATCGGCTCGAGTCGACCGTTATGACATCGTAAATAACCTCACAGGCTTGGTAATATCCCGAAAAGGAACTGAACGATCTACCGCCACTTGCTAAACTAGCCTTTTTATAAAATAAGCTGGGAATTTGACTCTGCTGCCAAAGCAGCGACTTACGCTTCTCAAAATCATTTTTAACCTAAAAAAAGAACCTGAGAAACAAGATGGCGGATTATTCTTTAATGTCGATGTAATCTAATTCTTTCTCATGGCAAGACCACCTTCGTTATTGTTGTTACATGTTAAAAATATGATATGTAAGTATTTCTTAATATTACAATTGATTGAACCTTTACACAATATGAATGAAAAGCAGCGAGCATCCAAAGCCAAAATACGACAGCGCATCTTGTGTAAATGTTATATATGGCTGGGATATTTTACCTTCCATCAAATGAATCCCACCCTTGTGTGTCTTGATACAATTTTGAAAATCTTCTATGATAAAAAAATGGTACAGGAATTATGATTTTAAAGTCACAATTATGAATTACGTACATACAAAATATAAAAGTATGTGTAACTCCTGTACTTTACGCGAGTTACGTTTGGTATATAAGTTAATTTATTTACAACTTATTATATTTAAATATATTGCAAGTTTTGAACCGTTAAAAGTGTTTATTTAAATAAGTATGTTTGTTACGTTTTAGGCGGTGACAAGGCGATCACGGCAATCGACGTCTGCGCAGTGGTCGCGATCATTTCGGGGCAGCGCGAGCAGTCCTCATGAAGACGTAGACTTTGACGATGTCTTCTTCGCCCCTACCTCAATCGCATCACCGCTAAATCAACAGCACCATGATGAAATCGACCCGTCTGAAGGACCCAAAGGGTGAGTTAATGAATTGCGAACTCAATATAGATTACTTTTCAACTGTAGTTAAGTTAATCTAAGATGTTTTAGTTAGCTGAATTAAGTTCAAAGACTGAGAGTATTAACATATAATTTTATCACTTATAGAGAATAGCCCCTGAACAATTGTCTGTTACCATGATCTGAAATCTATCATTTTTTGTCTTTATTTACAAATAGTCGATTTTTTAATTATAATTTGCCGGTTTTTTTCCGTTTTCCCTTGAGAAAGACCAGACTAACAATTTTGGTTCACGGCCCAGATTTGAACTAACTAATAATATTTATAATTATAGCGAACATAAAGATATTTAAAAAAGTATTCATTGAAATACTATGATTATAAGCTTTCGCCTCTAAATCCTAAAATAGTGAACTGAAATCAGCGCTGAGAGTTGCGAAGTGGGTTAAACGAGGTCGCTGTTTTATAGTTTTGACCTAAAAACCTAGACGATATCTATAGCTTCCAAATCCCTTATCTAGAAGGGACTATAATTGTGGAGTGATGTTCGAGATAAGCACGAAAACCGCATGTCCCCATCGGACAGGGCCATATTAACGAAATTAACATTGTAGGGCTGACAAGGTTTTGTATAGCTCGGGGCCACTTTAGTCCTTGGAAAGAGGAAAACGAAAAGTTGTAAAAGAAAAGCATCATTGTAATTTGGTCGGATTTAGTTGTAATTAAATTATATTATATTATTGTCAGACAGGCTCATCTGGTAGCAATGTATGGCTAATAATCAATGTTTATAATCAATTTATAAATTTTTTTTATTGTAATATAATGGACTTTGTTTGGAAATCTGGATGTTAAATGGATGGTATATATCAAATAATATCGAAACTCAGTCCAGGCCACGAACCATCCATAGATTAAAAAGTCGTGAAGTCGCATCGCATTTCGATCAGTCAGTGAATTTCTTAACGTTCAAATCCAAAAAAAGTTGCCTTTTAAATCGTTAAAATGGTTTTATCAAAATGTGTACTACTCGCACACAATATATACATATCGCGTACGTATAGACAATATTTGTATTGATTTTTATAATATTTGTTTCAATGTTCCACCAGGTTAGGTGTACTCATTTGTTTTATTTCTTAACAAATTTAATTAAAAATATATTTTAATTATTATAAGTATACTAGTTCCCATGTGTAATCTATGATAGGTAACTTTAAAAAGTGTTTTAAACAAACGTCTGTTTGTTTTTCTGTATGCCAATATAGTCTCAATTACAAATTTTTGCTCCCCATCCAAACCAGTTAATCGGGGAATAATTTATAAAAAAATAAAAACATTTTCTCACAATATTTAGGTGACCCAGAAATAAAAGCATGAAAAGAGGTCACATAATATTCATTGCAAAAGAGGTTGACTTGAGTTCTAACTGCTTATTGTATTTAATTACGTGTTTTATAACTATTCAATTGACATAATTATAGTACAAAGAGACTTTTGCATGCTAAAATTATACTTATATATATATCTGAAGAGTTTGTTTGTTTGAACGCGCTAACCTCAGGATCTACTAGTTCAAATTGAAAAAAAAAATTGTGTTGGTTTTTATTGCGGAAGGCTACAGGCTAATTACGTTAGTCGCCACCAGTGGTTGCGAAAAAACTCAATCACTTAATAATTAATTTAATAAAAAATATTAAATTTAATTAATCCTACTTGTCTCCCTGTACACGATACATCAGTTTGACGCGTAGCATAATTCTCCTACATTTAATTAATTCTAGGTGCACAATGCATGGTCGACTCTTACAATAATTCTCATTAATATCTTATACTAAAATGGGTACGGCAACAGTAGCGTCACATACCGATCGCACGGGTATCGAATACGCGCACTATCAGACCTTTCCCCGTAGTGGCACAGCTTAGGGCTGTCGCCTAATAGAGTGCAGCTTAGGGCCGGCACATAACAGGCTAAAAAACATCGACCTGTGACTAATACAAGCGACGATACAGCGAGTAATGTGAAGAAAATTGGGAAAATTTTTCATCATTTTGAGTTTCCGAAGCGTACGCTGCAAACACGGTTCAAGATACTTTGGGTATCTTGTATATGTATCAAAGAATGATTTCTCTTTAAATTATGAAAAAAAAATGTCCTCGATACTATATGTCTAACGTTTAAGATTTACTAAGCTAAAATGGCGGGATGTGACCGACGTCGTCGGTAACAGTTTAAATTTATACAGCCACAGAGGACGTTTGCAAGAACAAATTTGGATGCCTAATATAACTTTATATAGGTATTAATTTTGTCACTTCAAATATAAACTACTAGCTGTGCCCGCGACTTCGTTCGCGTGGAATGACTAGGGGTAGAATTTTTAATTATTTAGGCTGTTTATTAATTTATGTAATCGCGCATTTATCGCAGCCAATCTATGTTGTAAGTGCTACTTTGTCGCAGCACTCTCACCTCACATCACTCCTACTTTAACTCTCACTCTCACCGTATATAAGTACCGGCAACTTCTATATAATAAATGATGATAAAATACACACATTTACACTAATACCTCAAGAGTTTTTTCTTTGTTTGTTAAACAAAATAATCTCAATATTAACGAAAAGAAGAACTGTTTCGAATTAAAAAATCTTTCTAGTGTTAGAAAGACCATTTATCGAGGAAGTCTTATAATATAACATCGCTGTCACCAATAGGAGCTGCTTAATTCCAAAAATATGTATGACAGAATTATTTACACATCGCTCCTACTCTAACTCTCACTATCACTCTACACTCACTCCCACTCTCACTTCCATCCCCAAAAAACCAAAGAAGAAAGTTTCATTGTTCTAGCTTCAAATATCACGAATTTCTATACAAACTTTCACCCCCCTTTTCAACCCCTAACAACCTTTTTTGGCATTAAAAGTAGCCTATATCCTTTTTGGGCTCTAGAATATCTGAGTACCAATTTCATTTAAATCGGTTCAGTAGTATCGGAGTTAAAGCCAGACAGACAGACAGAGTTACTTTCGCATTTATAATATAAGTATAGATTACCAGTTATTTGTTAAAGCAGCCAGTACAGTATAAAACTACAATCGCTCAGTGTATCAATGGTATTTCGGAGAATCAATATTAAAATCGCGTGGTATATAACCGGCCTAAATGTCGGATCCTAAAATCGGCTTACAGTATCAGTAAAAAGTTCCGCCGGCCTTGTTAAGTCTACATAATGTCCAGTGTGCGACAGATATATCACTCGGTCCGAATCTCTGTGACATGGGTCCGTGAATTGGAGATTTAATCTGCTCGCAACTAAGATATGCGCTACGGGATCTCGCTGAAACTGTTTCAGTATAAATCTGCTAACTTCTTTTGTGGTATACTTAGTTCAGCGTTTCATATTTGTCCTTGTTTTTCAATACTGTCTGTAGTTTACATACACATTTATATTGAACTGGATGCGAATGTATTAGTTAACTTATTGATAAATGAATTTTAACTACGGCCCGACGTTTCGGATGCTTTGCAGCAGTCGTGGTCACGAAGGACCGGAGATGGAGCGCGTCACTAATGTTCAAATAAACATTGTTGCGCTAACGTCATCTGTCTCGCCGTAGTTTGTATTGGGGAAATATTCTGGGTCCTGGCAGAGCTGAGTCAGTTCTGCAAGGATAGAACCATTTTGTTCTTTTAATCATTTTGTGATTAAACATATAAAAGTGTTTTATTGAAAAAATTTTCTACCATAAAACAAGATTAAAAATTGTGTAACTTGAATACACTTAAGCTACACATATTATTACGTTACGTTATATACGTTAAAAACAAAAATAGGCCGACAGCACATCCTAGTTGTGTGATGTATGCTGTGTAACTTATTTAACGTACATTAAGAGAACCTGTACGCTAAGGTATTAAAGATACTTATAAAAAACTTGTATTTTCTTTTTTATTTCAAAATACGAAAAGTCACAGAGTCCAGCTTTCAGCCGCAAAATTATGTATAAAAACGGTCGAACTAACATTTATTTGTCTGTGGACTTGTATATACATACGCATTGTATTCAACCTTTCGATATTATCCAATAGTCCCACAAAAATAACGCCTAAGATGTTTAGGTCCAAGCTTTTTAAATGAAAGAATTTTACGATTGAAAATGCAAAATATATTTAAAAAAGTTTATTTACTGCGGCCCGACGTTTCGGATGCTTTGTAGTGCGTTTTAAACTGTTAAAGTGTTTTATTTAAATGTGTACTACTCGCATAAACTACAGACAGTATTTTATTTACACCTGTAAGATACCTAATGATGATATATTCTTTCAGGCGAAGATCACCCCTTGGATCTTCCAGTGTGGAGTATAGAAGACCAGAGAGGAGTGTGTCGTGGGGCGCGGGAGGGGTACGCATCCATACACCCATGCTGGAACCACTTGCAGATAATTCGAATAGAAGGCAGTTCGGAATGGGTGTCGTCGGGAGATTTTTCCGGTAAGTAATTTAATATTACTGAAACATGTTGGACTTCGTCTGAGAATCTGGATATTAAATGGATGGTAGGAATATCGGAAATACCGTCCGGATTACGAACCACTGTCCACAGATGAATAAGCCGTGAACCTTTATTGCTTTTCGATTACAGTCTGTGGATTTCCGAATATCCAAAGCCAAAATAGGTCGATAACACATCTTGTTTAGATGCTATAGTCTGGGGTTTTTCTTACCATCAAGTGAACCATGTTTGTCTGTCCTCCTCTATAATTAAAAAAATTGAGAATCCACAATACGACATAGAAAACATAAAATTATTATAACAAATACTAATCTTAACCTTACATTAAACGCATTATAAATTAAATTATTTGTTAAGCCTGTTTATCCCACGCCTAAAGTGAGAATTTTATTAACTTATTCATAAAGCATATTGTTTCCTTTGAGTGATGAAGAATTTTTAAATATTAATATATCATTAATTTCACTAAAATAAATATATTTGGTTAAATACTGTCTATAGTTTACGCGAGTAGTACACATTTAAATAAAACACTTTAACGGTTTAAAACGCGATATATTAGAAACTTATTTGAAAATTATTTTAACTTCGGCCCGACGTTTCGGATGCTTTGCAGCAGCCGTGGTCACAGGGAGACATGTCTCAAATTTACTTATTCTTTTAAACCGTTAAAGTGTTTTATTTAAATACCTTTGATTCTGAAATGAACAGTTGTTTTAATAGTCAACTTTTGTTAATTATGTATTGTCTGTACTTTACGAGAGTAAGTGCCGAAAAGATCTGAACTTGGGACGTAGTTAATTAAAAAAATACGTTAACTAGTATATTTCGCGTTTTAGACCGTTAAAAGAGTTTTATTCAAATGTTCGTTAATTGAGTAATTTTCTTTTAAAAAAATTTATTATTTCTATGTATTTTTTTATCTTTATGTTAACTGTCGCTTTTTATTTTATCTGTAGTGAGACTTAACATACTATAAAATATTTCTACTACTACTAATTCTAAAATATTAAAATTAACTAACATCATTATACAATATCGCGATAAAGGTAATTACAAATAATGCACATAAGGCCTATATCTAGATCGCGTGATCCCGTACAAAGGATATACGTGACACAACTGTGTAATTAGGGCGTTAAAGCAAGTTACGTAGCGATCGATAATAAGTGCTGATTTTTTTGCCCATAACTATCACAAACTTGCAATTTTACAGAAAAATACATTAAATAAAACTGTAAGAAACAGGTAAAAACCTGCTTCATATAGATCGTTGCCATCAAACGTTGGATAGACAAAAAGGGCAGAACAGCCCTCCACCTCATGCACTTAGATATTTAGCAGGGCCTAAAAACAGGGATTTATGTATTTATTTTATTTATGTACGTTCCTTATTTTATTAAGGAATTCTTAAGAAATCACTGTAATGTGAGTATTGTAATAGTTGAAAGTGCTTTATTTTAACTGTTGTTACAGTAACTGAAAAATATGTCTATTGTTTATTGTTCTTTATTTACGATCATACGAACTAAGAAAGTTATGGTAATAATATTATTTATGGTTTTAATAGAACACTTGAACGGTTTAAAAACCGTAATATATTAATTTACTCTATTTTGAACAACAATTTCCGGCTATAGTTAAAATAAATTAACTTAACCGTCTCGGTGTGAATAGACATATTAGAAACCATCAAATAAAATTGATTAATGAAACGGACACATAAATATGTTTGCCCCATTCCACGTATAGCGGTAATTCACTGTGCAATATATATTTCTCTCCTTACTAAAGTAAACAAGAAATTAATGTTACTAATCGTGGTATTTTGTAAAATATAGCGTTGGTATACATAATATAAACCTACCAGCTCTCGTGGTTGTCAGCATTAATCCCATTAAAATGTCTAAGGAAAAGCCTCATTATTAATGCAAAGTGATCCGTGTGGTTTGCAAGTTTCCATAAATTCAAATGTGAACTAAGAAATGTTCGATACATTTGAATAAGCTCCAATCGAATAGAAATAGAATCTTCGTACCTTCGATAGATCTGTGGTTTAATATTGACAGGTCTTTGACCGCATCCATTTCTGTAATCACGGTGATTAATGACGCTGAAAGTCTGGGTGTAAGATAATTGTGGAGATGGGTTCAACTATAGCTGTTCAAATTATAAATACTATACATACTTTATCTATACTAATATTATAAAGCTAAAGAAGTAGTTTGTTTGAACGCTCTAATTTCAAGAACTACAGGTTCGAATTGAAAAAAATATTTTTTTTGTTAGAGCACGCCGCGCCCGAACGATATATAGGAGCGAAAAAAACAGTATGTAATGTAGAAAAGGGGAAACGAAAGAAGATACCTATAAATATGTATGAAAGAATGATTTCTTCTTAAACGGTTTACAATGCATAATTAATTTAAGTTAATTATTAGTTAAAAAAGTAAAAAAATAAATAAAAGTGTTTTGTGTTTTTTTTTCAAACAAACAAATTAAATAACATTTGAATAAACTATTTTATTATATAATATTTTAGTTAGCTTATTTGCAATATATTCTTATTAAAGCATCTGAAACGTCGGGCCGAAATTAAAAATCATTTCCAAATAAGTTTAACTAATATATCGCGTTTTAAACCGTTAAAGTGTTTTATTTAAATGTGTACTACTCGCGTAAACTATAGACAGTATTTAATGTATTCTACCTAATGCGTGACGTTTCGGACATAGGTAAAAAAATATTCATAAGTTAACTAACATAATTATATCGTGTTTTAACTGAATGTAAATAAAAAGTATACATTTTGGTTTGCTTACGTGGGTATATGGGTTCAATCGGGATCAAAATCATAAAAGAATAAAAAAGTTGATTCAGGGTGTCTCCATAGCAGGATCAATACCGCGAAAGCCTTAATTATTATCACTTCTCCACAAAGCGAACCGCGGGCTCTTTATTCCACCTTCATTTACATTTAATCCTATATATCTTTGTGTTCATTTTTTAATTAACTCGGATCGCTGTTACGACCCTGTAATGATACTTACTTCAATTGCTGTATCTGGTAAAGTATAACCGCCATAGCTCAAAGGTTCAACGTAATCGCTTGTAGGACGAGAGGTGTTAGGTTCTTGACAGGCACTTTGAGGTTTTTTTTTTATATTTACACTAAGTAACCGGGCGTGAAAACCATTCAGCACTGTATTTATGTGGATCACGTAAATAATAACATAATATAGTAAATAAATAAAATTTCGCGCTCTCAGACTGGTTTAAGAAACGTATCGTGGCTAATCAGTTACTAGCTGTGCCCGCGACTTCGTCCGAGTGGAATTGTTATTTTGGGCATCAAAATTGAATTTTGGAAATCTCCTCCTTCTTTAAATATATTAATTACTTTAAAGCCTTTGCTGTATTTATCGCAGTCTTATGTTTTATAGCCTTCCACGATAAATGCTCTAACTAACACAAAAAATATTTTTTCAACTCGAACCAATAGTTCGTATAAGTAACAAAATTAGCTTTCTAACATTATATAAATGGGACGGGCTTCTCCACTATGGGTCTATACGGTAGTAGTGGGGTATATTTCTACATACAAGTACCATCCAGTGAAAAATTTTTGAACCGATCTCCATCAATTCTATTGCCAAAGGGTCTGTATGCATTTTTGAGTACCTCTAATGACATGACGTAAGCCATTATTTATGGTAGCGAGGTAATTTAGTGCTTCCTCTTCTCTTTCAGAAATTGAAACATTTATACTGCTATTGTTTTATTGTGATTGCAATGCGATAAAATTGATGCTCTCCCGAATTGGAGGCTGTTGCTGACTGAAATACGTTTTTTGTTTACAGTCGTTGTTGAATACCAGTTTTAGAGCCTAAATAAAGCTAAGAATTTAGAATGAATGTGTAAATTCTAACTATGATATAACACGATTTAAACCACGACCAAAGAGTGGAAATTTGTATGCATTTACTGAGAAAAAAGACATAGCAAATACTATCTGTAGTTTACGCAAGAAGAACAAAATTTTAAAAAAAAACCCCCCCGGTTTAAAAAAAAAAAAAATTTTTTTCCCCCGGGGGGGGAAAAACCCCCCCCCCCCGGGGGGGGGGAAAAAAAAAACCCCCAAAAAAAAAAAAAAAAAACCCCCGGGGGGGGCCCCCAAAGGGTTTTTTTTAAAAAAAAAAAAAAAAAAAAAAAACCCCCCCCCCCCCCCAAAAAAAAAAATTTGGGGAAAGGAAAAAAAAAAAAAAAAAAAAAAAAAAAAAAAAAAAAAAAAAAACCCCCCCCGGGGGGGGGGGGGGGGGGGGGGGGGGGGGGGGGGGGGGGGGGGGGGGTTTTTTTTTTTTAAAAAAAATTTTTTTTCCCCCCTTTTTTTTTTTTTTTTTTTTTTTTTTTTTTTTTTTTTTTTTTTTTTTTTTTTTTTTTTTTTTTTTTTTTTTTTTTTTTTTGGATATCATGGAGCGGGGGGATTCAGGATGTTGAAAGGAACATGCTTAATCAGTCCGTGTCACAAAAATGCTTCAATTAAAATAAATACTTGAAAACTGCGCATGCATTTATAAACTAAAAAATATAACCTAATAGTAAAAAGACATTGTAAATTTAAAATTGTTTAGAACAATTTATTTTAAAGGCCATATACTAATATTCAGTACTTGCACAATGTTACAATATTCTACACGTTTTTTTATTTATTTATATATATTCGAATTTATAGTTGTGTTGTTTTCTCCATAAGTGAGTTTTTTCAGAGGAAATAATTACCTCAAACTATAGAAGGACCTATACTTAAACGACCACAATAATTTGTTTGAAATTACGAATTTTCATTAACTCGTACTGTGAGAAAATAGAAACTCCACCCTTCTAGAGAGCATTGAGGTGACTGGGTCAAGGCGAAATTTGCGTAGCGACAGCGTTTCACATTTGAATATACTATTTTAGATATACAATTTCTATTTAAACATACACTAACATACAAATAACTCCCAAATGTTTACATAACATTCAGATGTTTCAATCTAGCAGAAGAACGAAAATAAATATTATTGGCTACAATGAAATCTGGATTTACCTATATGAGGTATAGAGAAATATATTTGTGCCTGTTTCACTAATCCGTTTTATGCTCTGCCCGACCGAGTTATTGCAAGGCATTCTGCAGCTATTTTATTTTTAAATTTGTAAACTAATTCTTTTAACTTACTTTCGGAACTATAAACTTCTTAAGCGACTTTCAGGTTTTTTGTGACGGAAGTAAAAATTTTAAACTTGTATTACGATACAATACCTAAGCGAAAATTTGTGAGATAGAGAGGGAGTAGAAAGTATAATATGTGGTTTAAGTTATTATATATATTATGCCCTAATAGTAAGTTTTAAAAAAATTATCAAATTGTTCCACTCCAACGCTACCGGTTTGAATCGTGTATATTTTTAAACTGAACGAAACTGCCATACATTTGTACATAAAAAACCCTAATTCTTAATATACTCTTGAAGGAATTTCTCTTTTGTCATAATTACCTTATCAAATATTGTATATGAAAAACTCTATTTGCAGGCGTTCTCTCCGAAAATCTATGACACAGCAGGGTGAAATAGCTAGGCAGCTAGATGAACTGACAGACTACCGGCCCTACTTCACGTGGTGGGTCAGCACGGTGCAGACCCTGGTGTTGCTCCTAGCTCTACTTTGTTATGGCTTTGGACCGGTCGGCTTTGGACGGCACACGCACTCAGGACAAGTTATGTTGAAGACTTTGAGTTTACAGCAGGTGCGTTTTACTACTACTTACTATCTTTATAATTTTTCATTGTGTCATTTGGGCTAATTTGGTCTAATAGTTGCAATGTATGGCTAATAAGGAACGAGTCGTGATTTCGATTCCCACCGGGTACAACATTTTTTTTATAAATAAATAAATATTTTTTCTTCTTCACCTGGAACATCTGAATGGATGTGTATGAGGAGGAGTATTTATCAAAAACTATTATAATAATGTAATGATTGGATTATCTAGTTATCTCTACTACTATATCTTGTAATGTATAGTGTGCGAGCGACCCGCCCAGGCTTTCCTTGTACACAAATACACTACAGAAAAATTGTGAATGTATATAAAACCTTCTTCTTGGGTCATTCTATCCATTAAAATAAACCGCATCAAAGTCCGTTGCGTAGTTCTAAAGATTTAAGCGTGCATAGGGACAGAGTTTTCTTTAAACTATGTTGTGATGACGGATGGCAATACAATTAAAAATCATGAACTGTATTACGATAATAACAATATAAGTAATATAAATAATTATAAATAAAAATAATATTTAACTCTACGTATAATATATTAAAACTAAAAAACGTGTTTGTCCTAAACACAACCTTGTTACACCAATAAAGTGTGTTTTAATACTTAAATAGCTAATTACAATCTATTTTACTTTTTGGATAATTAATGTTTAAGTGCATATTATCGATAACGTTAAATTACACATGAAATGATAAAATTAATTTCGAAGTAATGAAGTATTAGTTACAATTAACATTAATGTATGCGATGAATCTAATTACGCATATAAATTGCTTTCCAACCTGCATACGTCAATTGACATTTTAAATCAACACTAATATATTAAACGGGATTTCCGGATATCCAAAGCCAATATAAATCGGCAGTGCATCTTATTATGATGTTATATGTCTGGAGTATTTCACATAAAAAAATACCGTTAGCTCAATTGTTCAGATTAACTTAAAAGCTATGTCTAGATGCGCGTCTAATTTTTAAATAAAACACTTTAACGGTTTAAGCGAAATATATAAGTTACACATATTTGAATATTTTAACTACGGCCCAACGATTCGAGACTAAAGGTGGATATATAGAGATATAGTTAAAAATAAGTTTAACGAACATATTTCGCGTTTTAAACCGTTTAAGTGTTTTATTTATATGTGTACTACTCGCCTGAACTATAGACAATATTTAATCATCCAGTTCGAGTCTAAGACGAATAATTCAGTTAGGCCGAAGCCGCGTGAACATGCTAAAACACCTAATCTCTGCCTTTTGGGAGTAATGAAGCGAGCTACGGTATCGTTTCTTTGTGGATTTTATTATAGCGCGGGTAAATGACGCAAAGCTTTTAGACAGCGCGCATTAAGCCACATTTATTTGCGAGCCGGCGGTTATGAGACAATATTAGGTTTTTTGGGCTTGTAACTTGCATGGCCTTCGTGTAGTTAACTATATAAATGGCCTGTAGTAAATTCTCCTGAAAGTTACTTCGTTTTGTGGATTTATTCGATCCACTTTGCGTTTTTTTGCGGTGAGGGTCCTAGTCTATGACATTCAATTCCCAGTGTTTGATTGTGTATTTTCATTCTATCCGGGAAGCGTCGCTTTGTTGTTTGCGATATGAATATTATTATCTGTAATGCATTTTAATACAACCCTAACAACTAATGGATAATAAGGCATTGGTTTCGACGATATTTGATTAACATAAAACAGAATTAAATTTAAGTAATAAGCATATATATACCTGTCGCAGACATTTTTTTTATATACGAAAATAAATAAATATAATCGATTTTTAACCTGTATAGTGTCATCATGTGCATTAACATATAAAAAATGTTAGTTTTATAATATAAATATTTCTCCCCGTCTTTTCACATTTTCCACTGTTTCTATGCTCCTATCATCAAACTTTATACACAAGCATTAAGTATTTGTTTGTAATATTTATATATCTATTTTATTTAAAACTAAAATAAATAATATATTAAAATTACAACGAGAGGTATGAGAAAAAAGTACAATTCTATAATTTGTGCTATATAATTAATCTGTTAGTTAACTTACTTCAATTCTTTGCAGCTGCAATGAATATTATAGTGTAATGGTACTTGTGTTTTGTTACAAATCATTACGTCAACAAACACGATGACGTGATACATCGTGTGGAGGAAAAATCTATTAATTTGTGTCTATTTTCTTCACTCCCCTACACTTTCCTATCTACCCTTCGAAGACATCAATAGCGTTACGCGTGTACGTAATAGCGTTCCGCAGAAATCCTCCATCATTGTGATCATAAATCAATTTATGAAGAACCAGTTTAAATTCACAGTCACGCCACTGACGTGACAATAGTTAAGGGGATTTGATATGTTAATTTATCTTCGGCGAACATATTTGATTTTTGTATCACACAAATAGATTCCTTATTACGTACTACCTTAGAGTCGAAAGTACAATAAAATGATATGTACTTTTAGTACTAACTATAGTATAGTATAAATTATAGCTTAGTTACACGGGTTGAATGTGTATGTAGCTTATCTACGGAGTTTTTATGCTCAATTTTCAATTAACTATAATTGAACGCACGGTATGTTGAGTAATATTTTTTTATCTAAAAAAGGATGATATAAGTATCTGAATCAACTTTAGTAAGAATGGAAGTTGATAGAATAATAAAATATTGTCAATAAACGCGTATTTTTTTATATGTCAACGAGAACTAACTCGCTTCTCTATATAATATGCTCTACGTTTGAATATTTTTGGTGACTAGCCTTTTATTGCGTTCGTAAATATTTCACTTTAAAAATAGCAAACTCAGCAAACCTTCCCTCGTCACCTTCACCTCTTTGTAGGTTATTTAAAGCTTTTAAAGGTCTCGGGTTAGACAAAATTTATCTTTTCTTAAACCTAAAAAGCCTACGATATCAGTCCCTTGTCATGTTATTTCAATCTCCAATTGTGATATGTATAAACATACATAGAACAGAAGAATAGAAATACGTTTATTCACAAACACAACATTTATGTTTAAAACTTATTAAAAAAAACATCATACGGGTTAAGTAAAAATACATTTAATTATATTTTTAATTAAATCCACCACCACAGTTACCTCTGCCACTCGGCTACGTTGGGATTAATATCCCAACACTGATATTCTTCGGCCCCTCCAGAATGTTTAACTTATTTATATAGTTAGAGTCTTACTTACAAGTTTTTTTTTAATACGCCCAAGTTTTACACCGCTAAAAGTGTGTTATTTAATTTTGTACTCGCATAACCTACAGACATTACAAATCAAAAATGTATGTGCTATAGATTTGTATTCCTACTGTTTTAATTTCCAAGTTTTAATCCATCTTCAAGCACGTGTCACGTGCCTTGAAGTCGGTTAAATTTTGAAGGTAAAAGGTATTACGATGTTATGAACTTAGCAATTACCAACCAACAAAGCCCTTTGTTAGACAAAGTTGACATAAAGTATTAATGAGTGTTCAAAGTAGGTCGCATATGCTTAAACTCTTTGTGGAGTCTTTGTCGCTTGCCAACTTTTGCCGATGTCACTTTTGTCTACCAGCTGACCGCGGACCTTGGGAAAATTGAGACAGTCTTTTTTGTTTTCTTTGTTTACACTTGATAGCTAATGAAAATATCTTCAAACTTTTTTTAATGCAAATCGCAAACGCTTATATCACTTGATTATTTTTCACGTCCTTTCAAAGATTTAACCTTTAAATATCTGTAGAGTACAGGCCTTAAATTGCCACTGTGAGAAAAAGTAGGTCAATCATTACGGGCCTAAGCTTTTATTAATGTACAAAAACAAGACATTTAAATATTAGGGCCATCAATACAATAAGTTACGAAATTATTTCGATTCTAGGACACATTTTTAGTACAGTTATTACACTAATAGTCGTATTATTATACTTAAATAAAACAGTTTTAACGGTATAAAATGCGAAATATATTATTTAACTTATTTATTATTTATTGTAACAACGCATGCAAAATATCCGAAATAAAGTAAAATGTTATTAAATTTAAATAACATTCACAGTGAGAATACCAACAATATTCTAATTATTAACATACGACGTAACATGTATGTGCTTTGCTTTTCCACAGATATTCAAGTAATGTTTCTCTAATGAGCTTAATAAAAGTATTAATATTTGGATAAGAGTCTAGTGGGCGTAGGTATTTCGGCCTCCCACGCTTGCCGTAGCTGTACGATCGTAGCTCGGTCTACGAGCTTTTAGGTATTTACCACGTTTCAGGTTTATAATATACACAGGATTTTCAAATTAAGTATTATGAAATGTGAGATCAGTATTAAATTTATTACCAGAATATTTTTTAAATACTGTCTATAGTTTACCGATAGTACACATTTAAATAAAACACTTTAAGGTTTAAAACGCGATATATTAGTTAAACTTATTTGAAAATGATTTTTAACTTCGGCCCGACGTTTCGGATGCTTTGCAGCAGCCGTGGTCACGGGAACCACTACCCGTGACCACCTGCTGCAAAGCATCCGAAACGTCGGCGAAGTTAAAAATCATTTTCAAATAAGTTTAACTAATATATCGCGTTTTAAACCGTTAAAGTGTTTTATTTAAAAGAATATTTTTTTACTAATGTAATAAAATTATAGACGACATCTTTTGTTTAATATGAATTGAGATTGGAAGATGATATTTTTTAGAATAATAAAAGGTTTACTAAATAAACTTACGCTTACTAAATACATAATTTAAATGACAGAAGTAACCGATAATATCAATAATATTTTTATAAATTTTAAATAAAACATCTTAACGGTTTAAAACGCGATATATATTAGCGTTCCCTTGACCACGGCTGCTGCAAGAATCCAAAACGTCGGGCCGTAGTTAAAATAATTTTCAAATAAGTTTAACGAATGTATATAGCGTTTTAAACAGTTAAAATGTTTTATTTAAAGTTCTACTACTCGCATAAACTACAGACAGTCTTTAATAATATTTCTTTAATAAGCACTAACATATATTGACAATATATTTAGTAGATTTTTTTTTAATTTCGGCAAGAATGTTATTTCCACATATTCACTGAAGCCGTGGTCACATTTCCAGTTAAGCTCATGAAAGTGTTTCATTAAATTTGTCTCTCTGCACATTTGATCTTTTTCAGGTTGAATGGGAAGAACCAGCTTCATTTTGGTTGGGACCACGGGCGGCGGATCTCATACACTTAGGAGCTAAGTTTGCACCATGCATGCGGAGGGATGCAAGAATAGCACGGGCGATAGCGGCATCCGCCAGGAGGGAAAGAGACACAGCATGCTGCATACGAAATGACGATTCTGGATGTGTGCAGTCGTCTAAAGCTGATTGTTCGGTAGCTACTTTTAGATTTTTATATTCTGGTTCTAAATCCTAGGGATATGTCAGCCTAGGACCCATTTAAAGCGACTGTAATATGTCTCTGAACTGAAAGATATTCATTCTTCTTCTTCTTTGTCATATCTGATATAGCAGAAATATAACATCAAAACCAGAGAAACAAACAAAAAATCATGAGAGGACGTTACAATATCAGCTCTTAAGTACTGTCTTATCTATATATGTCACTTAAGCTGTTTTTGGCTAAGTGTACTCATGAATGCGATCGTCAAAGTAAAACTTTTTTAACCATTCTAGAATTTTGAAGCCGAAGTTGAACGAACATCCAAAACGCCCTATGATAAAAAATGATAACTCCGTTAAATTAAAGTGATATTTCCGCTTTTAGACTTAAATCAAAAGTGAAATCTAAAAGCAATTACTCGGTTCGAAGAAAAAATAATCTTAACTTAGTTTATAAAAGACTGTCATTTTAAATTCAAACTCGACAACAGGACCCTAGCATTAAGAATGTTATTTAAATATTTTAGCCAAATGTAATGTTATTAAAAATTTTCACACGCAACCCAAAGTTAAGAGGATTAGTACCAAAGGTGAGGCTTTATTGGATTCATTTAAATAATTTTGTATTAAAGTTAAATATTAAGGTTTTCTGTTTGGAAAATGTTATATAAGTGACTTCAAAGTAATTGAAACTTTAATCAACAATTTTAAGGATCGATCACTTCTTAAAGCTTCAATGCTCTTAGACATAATTAACGTAAATTTGACATTTTTATAATTGTTATGTTACACGATTTCAGAATACAATATCAACGTGGAAGAAATGGTCTTCTGGAGATTCAGGTCCTGGAGGTCGGATATCAGGGTCAGTTTGTGGATTAGATCCCAAGTAAGTAGCAAATCAACTATTAAAAATTGAATTATTTATCTTATAATATATATGTATGCAAATATAGTAATTGACTCTACAACGTGTCATTTAAAATTTTATGGCACCACGAATTTCTTTAATGCGGGATGTCATCGCTAGTTATAGTCTTAGAGAGGAGAAAAGAATTTCAACTTCCTAGGTAGTAACCAACTTCTAAACAAATTCCAGATTCTGCGAAGCACCGCGTTCAATAGCACCTCACGAATGGCCAGATGACATTACAAAATGGCCGATTTGTCGCAAGTCAGTCTTAGACGGGTCCGCTGCTGCTGGTAGAGCAGGGCATGCTGCGGAGCATATGGCGTGTGAAGTAATAGCTCATCCATGCTGCATAGGAGTCCATGGGCAATGCGTAATCACGACGAGCGAGCACTGCTCATTTGTAAAGGGATACTTTCATGAAGAGGCCTCGCTGTGTTCACAGGTAAATTTTATGCTACATAAATAGCTTAACAGCTACGTAAAACTTATTCAAACATTGGCGTAATGCTCTGAACATCCATTTTTCAGGTATCTTGCCTTGACGACGTCTGCGGAATGTTACCGTTTATGCGGAGACGTCGTCCAGATCAGTTGTACAGAGCTTGGACATCACTGTTCGTCCACGCTGGGCTGCTGCATTTAGCGGCCACACTTGCACTGCAGTGGCTGTTCATGAGAGACCTGGAGAAGATGGCGGGGCCAGTCAGAATATCAGTAATATACCTGGGCAGCGGAGTTGCTGGGAATATGGCGTCGGCCATCTTTGAACCATATAGAGCAGAGGTATTTCTTCATCAATTTCTTTTAGCATTTTTTTTTACTAACTTAGTTTGAGCAATTGTAAACAGCTTTAAGTATAACTCATAAATGATTTTACACACTTTTAGCTCACTTAGGAATTTATTCCAGCTATCAAGGCTGTCCAATCAAATCAAGTCAAAAGAATCAATCTGATCAAGTAATGATCATTTTTATCTTGAAGTTCATAGACACTCTTAACCTTCCAGGTTGGTCCAGCGGGAGCGCACTTTGGCCTTCTAGCTTGTTTAATAGTGGAAGTAATAGGTGCGTGGCCTTTATTGAGGCATCCGAAGCGTGCGCTGATGAAGCTAATCGGGCTAGCGTTAACATTGTTTTTCGTGGGACTCCTGCCGTGGATAGACAATTTCGCTCACGTGTTCGGTTTCGTATTCGGTTTTTTGTTGTCGTACGCGCTGCTGCCTTTCGTGACTTTCGGGCCCTACGAGAGACGGAGGAAGATCGTCTTAGTGTGGGTGTGCTTGGTGTCCGCCGGTGGAATGTTGTGCGCGTTGATTGCGCTATTTTACGCGGCGCCGGCATACGAGTGTGCGGCGTGTGCGTATTTTACGTGTCTGCCGTTCGCGCCGGACATGTGCGCGTCGCAGGATGTGCGCGTACGACAGCTGGACGGCGTATGACGGCGCGCGGCCTGGGCGCCCCCGCCGCCGCCGCCCCCCCGCCCTGCGACACCCGCGCGCCCACGTCTCCGCGCTCCGCACAAGCGAACATCGTCTCTAATACCCAGTCAGTATCGCATATATTTTTGTATAACTTCTAGTATGTGATTTGTCCAAGTAATTGGCAACATTATTTACCCTACGGAAACCTTACACGCGAAGTCAATATCAAGCTTACGATCTTGAACTTTACTTAGGTGTGGACATTGTGGACGGATGTACGAAATGTAAAAAGCACATTTACTTGTATTGTACGTTTTTATTGTTTACAATATTATCTCTAATGTAACTGAACGTATATTCAGAGGAAATGATAAGATGCAATATTAATTTGTCAATTGTGCGCGTTATATTTGCATATTGTTAATGACGGAGAAAGTATTACCAATTTACTTAAATAACGAATTTTGTTTATCGTTATTCAACCTAAAACTACTTACTTCTTAAATAAGGAGATCTACTAAGTCGATGTCAAAAAATAATAAATATTTTGTCATTTCTTCAAAACACTGTATGTAAAAACGTGTAAGTTTCGTTCGAGGGGTCCCAAAAATAATCAAGAGTTACGCTTAGTCATTCGAGTAGATATTAACTAATAGAGGCCTTATAGCCATCACTGCCACACCCTTATCATTGATGTTAATTCGTTTGGTAGATTTTCCTAGGAGGTATGTCTGTACAAAGACAAATTTTAGTAGATACAAATATTTTCTTTTAAATATTTCTACAATATTCTGATAGTTTGTCATGCTTAACTTTATTTTTTATGAGTATGAGAATAATGGTTCTAGATGATAAATGAACTGTAAGTTCAATGCTTTGCCTGCGAGTTTTAAAGGAATCGTACATGACTTTCTCAAATTAGTCTAACACACAGAGATGAATAATAATAAATATTTATTTTTTTCTTTTCTGTCACCCATTATATTTCTTTCACACAATTTTTTGATATTTTATCCAATGTTGAATCACCTCGTAAACACTTCTAGTCCTAAACACTGTCCTAGTTAATGCATCAAAAGTCTTTTAGTATTAATATCAATGATTCTGAATTGTTATAATTGTTGTGTAGCATTTTTTTGGGATTCCTTAAAACCTGCCTTGACATCGAGCCTTTAGTCTCGTTTTGATTGAAGTGCCAGAATTTCAATACGAAAATCAACGCAATTGCTTAGTTTTTCTTTAATGAAACTTGGACTGACGCCTTATTGTGATAAATAAACACTAAAAGCTTTGTGTATTGCAGATGCGACAGTTGTAAATAATTATGTAAAATATATCATAAAATTTGGTTAGTATGATATCATTCCAATGTTTATTCCGTTAGGAGAATTAGTTTGTTGTCGGTCTACTAATAAGATATTGTTTTCCGTTGGTTGCTCCGTTTCGACGTTTATAAGTTCTAGTTAGGTACTTAGACGAATAAATTGTTTTTTCTGATTTGACTAAAATCTCTAAAGTGCAATGTCTTCCTCCTCATAAATTTTATAAGGTTCTTTGCGGGTCTATGCCAAACTCCTTGAGGTTCTTTCTAAAGTAGCTTTTTTCTGTTTCCTTATTAATTAGGTCTTCTCTTGCTTAGGTTTTAACTGTTTGGACCCACCATTCTGCTTCAACGCGAAAAAATGTATATGTAAAAAAATATGATTGTTCTATTGTTCCTGAAGTTTTTATAAGTTTGGAGAGAGTCGTAGCACAAAACCTAATTCTCCTAACAAAGCATAAAAAAACAAGTTTAGTATATTACTAAAGTACTGTAAATACTTATTAAACTATTTGATACGTATGTTAATTTTGCAAGGACGAAATCATCGTGACATGATTAGGAACGATCACAAAATTTTAGTTCTCGTCAATTTATATTATAGCCATTTTACGAAGTCTGTGTAGTTTTAACTATTACTTTAATGTTAGTTAACTGTGTCTATCATTAGGATAATTTTATTTCGGACGAAATAAATATTATTGATACTTTGAACAAATAATTATGTAGAACTATTTATTTGATAACTTCTAACGAATTTATTGGTAAGCTAGTCGTTATGCACTGATCAACTTGTAACGTTGTACTTAACATTCGTTTCTGTATTATTCATTTAAGTTGCATTTATAAATTAGAATTTTAATTACAATACTATTATTTTTACTCTTCATTATTAAGTTCAGTCAATATACAGCAATATTCATATAAAGTGGTATATAAGCATATGTTTAGTAATTTCTAACGTAAATCAGTACTCGTTATTATAACTTTTTTAAGTTAAATAGATTTTTTAATACTGTACTATACTTAGCCAGTAGTGTACATAAACTATTTCTTTTATACAATAACGCTACAATTTGTACCGCATAATTTTAAATTAAAGTGCCACAATTTTATGATACTATATCCATTTCGTTTAGGCTGTGGTCTGCTATAAACACTGACTACTGCGTACAGTGTAACGACAAATATTAACCGTCTTGTCGACATAGCTGTGAGTGTTTCATAGGTTTAGACTATGATTGGACGAAGTTATCAGCAGATATTTTATCGCTGGTGGTATGACAACTGCCTTAGAGTGTAAAGGAGGCAAGTATAATTTTCATTTTAGAGCGCGATGTAACGCGTCGCACTGTACGCGTTTCGCGGCGTTTATAGCCGACCACAGCCTTAGTCTTTTCACGTCGTGCACAAAGCCTTGTTATTTCGGATGTATCGTGTATAAAGGTTTTATGATAATTGATAACACTCTTAAATAACGTGATTTGCACACAATTACAAGGAATGTGCGTATTTTTTATACTAAAATAATGTGTCGAGTGTGTACAGGTGTTTACCATTTAATTAGTTATAGGACTTTGAGGCGAATTGTGCGAACGCGGCGGCGGACTGTATTGGAGTTTAAGCTTAAGTCATACATAATATTGTACATTATGAACATACTTAATGATAACGTAAGATTATGGTTATATTGTAACTAGTATTAAACAAACAAGAACCTTATTATCATAATATATTTTTGTGTTTCATTTCGTATTTTACGATACGGCCCTTTGCTAGATTCGATTAGGTTTTGAAAAGACTGCAAAAAGAGGCTTTATGAAAGTTTAATTATCAAAACCTTACAGTTTTATTCATAACTACATTTGATAACTTAATTTGCACGCATACTTTACTTTTATTCTTTTACGTGTTTCAGATGTCTTTCTGAAAAACAATGCTGATTATGGAAAATACTACTTTTTTATGAAATTATCTTCTCGTGTGACATTTTATATATTGTTAAAATTAATTTTCAATTGATATTTAATGCATTGATATTAAAAGAATATATTTATGAAGTTTTTGAGAATCCTACTAGAGATAATGAAATATTCAGACAAACATTGTAAAGTTTTAAGACATCATTGTTACACCATAGATTTTTATTAATATTAATATTATGTGGGATATTGAATATATAAAATTTAAAGTGTGAATTTAAAATGTTGATTATCCATTACAGGCTACGTTGTGGTCGTGGGGTTTTCCAATTTTACAATTCCAATGTGTTCCAAGCAGTTACGACTTGTCTCAAGCCTTAATGTGTTAAAAATAAGTAAATATTCCTATCATCATCAATAAATCTTGCTTTCATATCGCGAGATAAATATCATATATGTAATACTTGATATCCTAAAAGAAATGACTTGCAAGATGGAAAAACCAAATCATATAGAATTTAAATATCATTCTTTATATTTAATCCTAATCTAATAAAAACTACGGTTAATCAACCGCTAACTCAACTCACTATTCTTCGTAATATGCAGTCAAGAGAACTAAGCACTTTTTCTTTACGCGAGGACATTCCACCGTACATGGTTAATCTTAAACCAATTTAAACCCCACAGCGGAATCTATGATACAATAAAGAAGAATCCCTGGATTTCCATAGAACTCACACGGTAGCCTCAACATGAACCATCAGACCAACGAAAGAAGAACACATTCTGGATTGTTCTAATTCATGTATATTTATTTCTAACTCACTTTCTAACTAATTCAAAAAAGTCGTTAAATTTGCATATATATTGAGACAAATGGTTGTTTAGTTATTATCCATTTAAATAAAACGTTTTAACGGCTTAAAACGCGATATATTGTAGTTGAAATTGTTTGAAACTTTATTTGGTGCAGCAGCCGTGGTCACGGGGAGACCAGCACCAGTCTCCCCGTGACCACGGCTGCTGCTAAACATCCGAAACGTCGGGCTGTAGTTCAAATTTTCAAACAAGTTTAACTAAAATATATCGCGTTTGAAACCGTTAAAGTGTTTTATTTAAATGTGTACTACTCGTGTAAACTACAGACAGTATTTAGTTAATATGTCCTAAAATGCACAAAAATGCTGACTGACCTAACTGATCAAAACTTTATATTTTGGCCTTATAAACGCGTCCATAACACAATATTTATTTTTAAAACGTGCACAATGTACGTTTTGTTCTGCTTTGTATTAAGACAAAAACATGAGGTAATACAATAATAATAACAAAGTTGTAGATTCGAATATCAGTACTCCAAAGGAACCAAAGACTGGTGATAACGTCAATCACGCGGCGATAATAAACCATGTAAAGGCTTGAACGAAATAATTTTCTTTTAAAACGTTAAGTACTTAGCAGTATCTATCTTAGTTTTATGTTGTGGAAGTAAAATAACATATTAAATTTAAGGTATGTGAATTACTTGTTATTTATAAAAGATATTAAGTCCACGATTGCTGCAAAGCATTGGAAACGTCGGGCCCTTGTTAAATTAGTAACAGACTTGTGAATATATTTCCCTTTTTAAACCGTTATAAGTGTATTACTCACTATAAAAAAAGACTATTAGGAAGAAAATATGTATTTTTCCGGAAAATAATAAATAATTTATAGCGACAGTTCTTTGACTTCATACATGACTTACATTTAATGAGATAATTAAGTAAAAT